CTTCTATTGATCCAAGTTCATCAACTTTTCACAACACAGGTGGATCACGGACTACACTTGGATCACAAGACGCTCGTGGGTCACAAGATACACGTACATATATGAGCACACCATTTATTGTACTGCATCATGAGGTGCCATTGACACTCTCAATTTATTGCAATAGTCCTCCATTTTGGATGGTTGGCATACTTTTTCAAGTATGAACACCTTATACTGGTCATTTCTAGATGTCTTCCTCTATTCCATCTCAACAAGTACAAACCATAACACAATCCGACCAGGTGTCACAACCTCAACATTTATAGGAAAATAATCAAGATCATTTGAGAGATCGACCTGTTCGTGCACCTACACATTACACACCGAGGACAGATGCTATACCTCTATGAAGATGGCGTACACATTAGTATCAATGTCTCTCCCGCAATAAATTCAAACATTTGATTGACTTTGTTTGGTTCAACTTATATTTTCTCACAGATATTATTTGTTTCATAAATAGCGGATTTTAAAGCTAAGTAAAAATGATGATCTAAAATAACTACAAAACAATGTTTTATAAGAAGGATATGGTCAAGCTCATCAAGATCCCAACATGTATGCAGCTCATCAAGATCCCAACATGTATGCATATGGAGTCTATCCAGGAATAGGTAAGTTATACGTAAAAATTGAAATTCATATGTTCGACATGTAAATAAATAGAATTGAGTAGCATGTATATAAATCCTCAAAAAATAAAATTGATCAATTTACTACAATATGTAAGTACTAATTTAGAAATGATGTTGGAAGAACATCTTTGAAATGTTAAATGCGTAAGAATCGAATGTTTCGGATGTAAAAAAAAAATCATGAAGATGTTCATGTATGGAGATCGCAGTTCCACACGGCCGTGAAAATCACCGTTCGAAGTGGCGATTTCTATGTGGCAGAAACCATCACGCAACCTGGTGATTTTATCTATTTTAAAAAATAAATTTTATGGGATTTTATTTATGAGAATTAAATTTAAAAAAAAAAATTCTATTTTTAAAATTGTGCCCTTAAATAAATGAATATTGGGGAATATTATAATGGATGAGTTAAAATTCCCTTCATGGTTTCTTGTATAATTGATCCACTAGTCAACTCCACACACCTTCTGCAGAATCCCTGCTACAGAAAATTGCTCTTTTCCCCTCCATGGCGGTAACTACACTGCGAAAAAGCCCTAAAATCACCTCTTCTCTCCCTCTCTTCTCCAATGCCACCGCCACCACTGATCCCTCTCCCCGCTCCACCATCCTTGACGCCGCCTCCATCGTCCGTATCAAATCCACCATCCGCGAAGAATGCAACCCTAGCCGCCTTGCCGAGCTCTTCAAATCTGCGGCCACCACCCCGCTCTTTTATGGAGACCGCGTCATCTACAAGATCGCAATCCAAAAGCTTGTTCGTTCTCGCCGTCCCGACCTAATTGAGCTCCTCCTCGAACAGCAGGTCACCGATCCCTCCACCCCCAAATCAGAGGGCTTCCTCATGCGCATTATCTCCCTCTACGGAAGAGCTTCCATGCCGGATCACGCTGCTTCAACCTTTGACCGCATCACTCTTCGCCGTTCGGAGCGCTCGCTCTGCGCTCTCCTCAACGCCTTCCGCGCGTGCGGTCAGCACGCGCGCGTTCTTGAAACATTCCAGAAAGCTGAGCTGGTGCATGGGGTCGCCCCGGGGATAGCCTCTTGCAATATTCTTCTTAGATCGCTTTGTGAAGATGGCAAAACTGAAGCCGCCCGGAGCATGCTCGACGAATTGCCTAAGAGAGATATATTGCCTGATATCATTTCTTATAATATGGTTTTGAATGGGTATTTGAAACAGAAGAATGAGGAAGGCTTTGAGGAGCTTCTGAAGGAATTGTCGAAAAAGAAGCTGGATGCTAATGTGTCGACCTACAACTGCAGAATAGCTGGGCTTTGCGATAAAGGAAGGAGCGTTGAAGCGGAGGAACTTTTGGATGTGATGACTTCAAAGGGCATTTCCCCAAATTTTTTTAGCTTTAATAGTTTAATTTTTGGGTTTTGCAATGAAGGGAATGCCTGTGCAGCCATGAGGATTTTCAGGAGGATGCAGGAATTAAAGAGCAAGTATGGCAGTGCAGCCTCTGCAAATTCTGCAACTTATGCAGTTTTGCTCAATTGTTTGGTTGAGAAAGGAGAATTTCATTCGGCTTTGGAGATCTGCAACCTGTGCTTGAGTAAGAAATGGGCACCTCCATTTCATGCTGTGAAAGGATTGGTCCATGGCTTGATTAAGAACTCAAATGTGAAGGAAGCCAAGAATGTTTTAGAAGAGATGAGGGAAGCTGTTACAGGTGATTCCATTGAGGCATGGAAAAATGTTGAGGGTGAGTTTAGTTTTTGAGGCTTTTGTAGTTGTTTGATCCATGCAGCTCTCCATTGCTCTTTTCTTCTTGAGTTTCCAGATACTAATGTTAGAAGATGATACCTACTTCAATTTGCTCATTAGTTGGTGAATTAAAGTGATTCTACCTGAATATGTTTATTTTTTTGTTGCTGCTTTCTTTTCCTTGGTGCTTATTAATGGTGATAGACCATTCATTTGGTAAAAAATTAGCTGAAGCACAAAAATTTATCACATGTAATACTTTTGGCAGTCCTTTTGCCTTATTGTTTAAGATTTTATAATTAGATGGAGCGTACCTTAGTCCCTTGAAACTCCTTGAAACTCCTCCAATATCGTGTCTAATGTTTGTTTTGCAGTTGATGTGCCCATGATTCGAGAAAAGATATCATCTCTCATTTGTTATAAAAAAAGAATAATGCTCGAGTCTTTTTTTTTATTATTATTTTTCAAATGCCTTTATTTGATTAGTTGAAAGATTCAAATTATTTTTCGGAACATTGAATCCTTCTTCAACCTTCTTCCATACTTTGGGGGCGAAAATGGGTCTTCATTTTGATGGACCAAAAATCATAATTTTCTCCACTATTGTAATTTGAACAAATGAGGAAATCAACAATTGTAGATATATTGAAATTATACAGTGCGCTGCGATAATCGAATGAAGCTCTGATATCAATTATTAGAATTTTTTTATGAAAAGAGGGAGAATTTTGTTACTACACATTGCTGAATAGTTTCTAGCTCATATGACAACAACATAATTATGCCTGTTTATAGCTAAATTGGTATATGTGACTAAATCTTGATACTTCTAAACTCTTATATTTATTTCTAGAAAAACATACTCTAGATAATTCCTAATTAATTATTATGGAATATTCTCATTTAATATAAATACTCTAAAATTTTTTACTTAAGATTAAATAGAATATTGTAGAATATTAAAAAAAATAAGCATCAATCTTTTTAGTAATAACCAAATTATAAAATAAATATAATGAAATTTATTCCCCCTCATGACCAAAAATTTTTCTGTGCGGACTCCTGACGCAGTTTTACGTGCGGCGCAGGGTATTTCTGAGTTATTTTCATGTTATTTCTGGGTTATTTTTAATAATTGCGAAATAATTCAGAAATAACCCGCGGTCTTTATTTTTAGGTTATTTTTGGGATTATTGAAAATAATCCAAAAATAACATAAAAATAATTCATGAATAACCTGCACCGCATGAAGAGGTAGATCTAGAGATAGATCAGGTGTCCGGACAGAAAATGTGCGCGCCCTCATGACAGGTATTCACAACAGATGCGATGCTCATCTCGGGAAATAAAAAAGCAGTATTTATTCTCTCATTTTGTTCGAAGAAAGCAACGGAAGAAGATGAAGATGAGATGCCCTTTCGACTGCCGCGAGCAGCAGACAGAGGAAAAAAAGAGGCAGACGACTTACCTTTCATGTGTCACTGACGATCCTGGGCGCTACGTGCAGAGAGGAAGAGGGAGAAAGGAGACGAGGCAAAAACCAATGGTATTGCCTGCACAAGAATGGAGATGACACCAAGGAAGGAGCAACGCAACTTGCCGGAAGAAGGAATCGAGCAATCCTTGTGTTTGATTTGTGCAGATGAAGGCAACAACAAGTTGAAGCCTGCGAAGTGGAAAGATGATGTCGCAAGGAGAGACGTCTCACGCGAACAAGGAAGACGACGACGCCCATAGTGAATGTGCGTTTTATTGCGTACATGAGGCTCGATTTTGTTCGGTGTGAAGAAAGAGGAGCATCGAGCAGAAGAAGTGGGAGGGAGATTCCGTTCGGTGGGAAGGAGAAGCGCAGGCGTGTGTGGCTTAGAAGGCCGAACTATGGCTTAATAAAGGTAAGTGTTTTAAAAATATTAATCTATGAATTTCATATATTTTTTTAATTATTAATTGTTAATAGTAGGTTTAATTAAATTAGAAATTAAGTGAGGTAGGTTTAAGGTAAATTTTTAATTTAGGAATATTTTAACTACATTCGAAGCAATATATATATATATATATATATATATATACAATATTAAATAAATATAACTATAAAATAAATATAAATTAAAATGTTAAAGATTTGAATGAATTAGTATATATTAAATCAAATATTTGGGCCTTGATATATGCATAAAATGACCACTTAAATATTTTATTAATTATTGTAAATTTTTTAATAGGTTTTAGATTAAAGCAGACAAATTCGAAATAAAGGATTGAAAATCTAAAAGGAAAGTTATATTGTATTGAGATGGATACTCATGTTCCTACGCTTTACTAATATTTTTTTCTTCTTTTTGACTGAATGCATTTACTGTTACTATCACAAAATCACTAAAAACTCGTGATTTATGATTCTTGAATTTTTGTTCATATTGTATAAATGATATTTTTACTCGGCATTGTTTAGATTATCATAGATATTGAATATTATACAAATATATTAACTATCATATAAATGAGAACGAAATAATTATTATTAAATAGTGATTTTCATTGTATGCTTGACTATGGTGGAGTTTGCCCCTTTATGATATTAGTAAGGGAACGTTAAGGTACACGTACGCTTAAATAGAAAAGATTATTAATATTGATGTGTTTTTATTGACACAATCATAGGAGATTACATATATAAAATGATTAGACATTTTACCGATAGAGTAAAACACATTTAGTGTTATAAACTATTATGAAAAATCATATTTGAAAAAGTAAAATGTTTACTACATTTATAATGATTTACTTTGCTTTTATTTTTATTTTTCAAGAGCCGCTCTTTCGACTGTCGCGAGCAGCAAACTGAGGAAGAAAGGAGGTGAATGACTTACCTTTCATAACTTGTTGAAGGTCCATGGTGCTACAAGCAGAGAGGAAGAGGAAGAGGAGGAAAATACCTTGCTTTCAAGCGAGGACTTTGCTTTCAAGCAAGAAGGAAGAGGAGTCGATGGAAAAAGGAGATGAGGCTAAAACTTGTCAGAACGCGTGCACTCGAGAAAAAGGGAGTCAACTATCTCATTTGTTGGAAGATGTAATTGAGCAATCCTTACGTTCAATTTGTGCAAGGCAATAGGTTGAAGCTTGTGAAGGGGAAAGATGATGTCGTGAGCAAGGCAAACTTCTCACGTGAAGAAGGAAGACGACAATGCCCATAGTGAAGGTGCCCTTTTATTGTATACAAAAGGCTCAATTTTGTTTGCTGTGAAAAAGAGGAGCAACAAGCAGAAGAAGAGAAAAGAGCGAGGGAATTCGTTTGGTGGGAGGGAGAAGGGTAGGTATGTGTGGCTTAGATGACTGAACTATGGCTTAATAAGGGTATTAAAATATTAATTTATTAATGTCATATATATGTTTAGTTATTAATTGTTCATAGTAGGTTTAATTAATTTAGAAATTAAGTGAGGTAAGTTTAAGGTCATTTTTAAATTTAGAATTATTTTAACTACATCACTAGTAATATATATATATATATATATATCACTCTTTTTTCTTTTAGAGACTTTTTCATAAGATTAGGTATTAAACTTTCTTCCTGGTATCCTCTTTGTAAAACTAATGAAGAGGAGATTGATCATATTTTTTGCAATTGCTCTTTTGCTAAGTGCATTTGGAATATGATTTTTTCCCTTTTTGATAAAAGTTGAGATGGGAATCTAATTGATCTAGTAAAGATTTGATTAATTCTTGGAAGAGCACCTATTGTGTTCTTTTGGGTTTTTTGGATTGCTAGGAATGATGTTAAGCATACGGATAATTTGGTTTTTGTGCTCTCTTATTTTAATTGCATTAGAAGTTTTATTTTGAAGATGTTGAAATTTGACAGTTTTAAGTATCCTACTAATGAGACATTGCTGAAGCTTTTTTATTTGTTTAAGGTGCGTATTTCTAGTAAGTTTAAATTGTAGGTAAATCTGATTTATTGGAATAAATCTGAGGATGGTTATGTTAAGTTTAATACGGATGGTAGTTGGAAGAATTATTTTGGTTAGCATCGATTTGGTTGGTATCGGGGGTGTTTGTAGGAATTCTTCCGGTAACTGCTTACTGTGGTTTTTTGCTCCATAATTGTGTCTTCTCCTTTAATTGCTAAAACGAATGCAGTTTTAATTGCTTTGAATATTGTTATTTGTTGCAGTTGGAATAATGTTGTGATTGAAATGAATTCTTTGGTGCTTTGGAATATTTGCAAATTACGTAAGAAGTATCTTATATGTTTTGCAGATTCAGCGATCTTTTATTCATTGTGACGGTAACCAATGTACTAATGGGGTTGCTAAGTATGGTTTGCATCCATAGGAGGTTATTATATCCAACAGGATTTTCGTGGAGCTGTCTCGGTTGCTTCATGGAGATTGCTTGGATTTGCCTTATAATTGTGTTAATAATTTATTCTTTTTGTTCTGTGAGTTCTACCGTGGCCTTTGGTTCTTAGGTTTTTATTTTCCTTGATTGAGTTGTAGTGTTTGAGGGGTGCAGTGGAACTTTTGGCCATCTTTTTGTAAATTATTTGGAGCAAAAAAATTTCCTATAGGGGCAGAGCAAAAAAATTTCCTACGAAGTTCATTAATATATG